ATGAAGGGGCGTAGACTTCGGCTACCGAACTTCAGCTTGCCTCGAGAGAGAAAAAATTGTGTGCAGAAACAGCCGAAGAAACCCTTGCCGAAGACCAAAACTAACAAAAAACTTCACAAAATGTCATCATAATATATCAAATATATCAAAATATTGACTAAATAAACGAAAGTAACACAATACAATAACAATAATGAGGCTATATACAGGGGGTACTGAGTCGCTGTGCGGGGGTACAGGTTAGTCAAAGTAATTGAGGTAATATGTACATGTACGTAGAGTAAAGTGATGACGCATAGACAATACACAGTGCTATGCAAATAGTCCGTTTGATTAATTGTTCAGCAGTCTTATGGCTTGGGGGTAGAAGCTGTTAAGGAACCCTTTGGACCTAGACTTGGCGCTCCGGGTACCGCTTGCCGTGTGAGCCATTACCAGCCTTTCAAAGCATTTCATGGCCACAGACGTGAGTGCTATTGGAGAGATAGTCATTTAGGCAGGTTACCTTGGTATTCTTGGGCACGGGGACTATGGTGGTCTGCTTGAAACCATGTACTGTAGGTAGTACAGACTCGGGCCAAGGTTGAGGTTGAAAATGTCAGTGAAGACACTTGCCGTATGCACAAACTGTTTCAGATGGGAAGCATTCAGACACCTTTAGGGGTGTTTAAGAAGTTATATTTCATCTTACAGTATGATTGTACAGTATTATTTACCTGCTAGTGAATGTTTGTCTCTTCTCTTGCTCTTTTTTCAGTGATGACCAACCTGGGACATGTGATCTGTACATATTGATATATATTTGTCAAATAAAACTCAAGTGTTGTTTTTTTTTGTTGCCAATTCCTATTTAATAATATTGAGTTTTTCGTATTGGAATTTGAATTGTGGGTCTATCACAATCAATATTTTGTACTTTTTGCATATGAAAAGAAAAAGTTTTATTTTTATTTTTTTAGTTTAGAGATTACTTAGAAGGATATCATGCACACAAAGAGAGGAGACTGGTTACAAACAGAAAGGAGCAGCAAATGCACTCAACACTTACCGGATGGACAAATGTTGCTGATTTTATCTCATCGGGGAGAAATTAGGGTTTTAACCAGAAATAAATAATTGATTCTGACTAAAAGGCTCACTAGTGTTCCCACATGGAGATACAGTATTGGAGTGTACACCACAGCCTGCACCTTGCAAACAAATCTACCCCATCATGCCAGTGCTCATTGTTTGCTTTGAAAGGACCAGTCCTCACGGCAGGGGCCTATCCCAACCTTAGGAGAGAGGTATGGGGAGGCACAGAGGATGGCCCTCACTGTGGAATAGGAGCCACACAGACTCACTGGGCTGGACAGAGACAGATGGCTAGACCAGCATGGAGGAAATATGGATTTCACTCTTCAGATGGTATCCAACTTATACTGGAGGGACTTGATTCAAACACCAGATCCCTCACACAACAAACTACAGACACACACTAGCTTGGATTAATGGACCTATTTCGAGTCATTCTAAATCGCATATCAGTGTGTTATTCATTACATGAGGTTGTGTGTCTTTGTCATAATGTGTGAAAAAACTAAACAGATCTGAAATGAACAAATGTTTTAATACCATGATCTTTCGGTGGCTTTTTAGATTTAACCTTTGTCTGTAGTCGTTTTCTTCAATGTGTTTAATGTTTAGATCAATATTGGTTTAAAACGTTTTAGAATGTTTATGATGGTTTCAAAGTTGTTGCTGAGTTGTTGCATCAAATGCTCTAACCAGTTCATCGACACAGAACACTGTAAGACTTTGTAAATAAATGTGTTCATACTTAATATTATGAGATATTCCTGTGTGTAGGTTTTGTGGAAATTCGTTGGATCTCTCTTCTATTCAAGTTACATAGCCTATGAAAAAGTCAGTCATTCAATTCATTTTTTTTTTTTTGTATTTTATTATCTAATGTTGGTGGTAAGGCCATAGTCATTCATGGCCTACTTCAATTTATGTTATAAGAAGCTAGCTAATTTGATTTAGACATATAACTATGGAATACATATCAGGAACATCATCATTCCTCCTCAGACCTCACCCCTTTCCTTGTCAAATATCAACCCTGCACTAGTCAAGCAAGTGTCACCCCTCCTCCTCACTCATAAAGCGTCACCCCTCCTCCTCAACTCACCCCAGCATTGGTCAGTTATCACCCCTCCTCCTCAACTCACCCCAGCATTGGTCAGTTATCACCCCTCCTCTGGTCAAGCCTCCCTTCTACTTCTTACCCCTCACCCTTGCACTATTTTGTTCTCAACAATGAGTTTTACCATTGTCTGAAACACATGCAAAGAGCTAACAATAAAAACACGTTTGGAAGTATAAGATTGAGAAAATGTAGCTGGCAATTATGATTTATCATAATAATAATTAGCTATGATTAAATTCCTTTAAATGAAAGTGTTGCTAATATGGAAGTCTACGTCGTACATAGGCACTCCACTGGCCACATGTAAACACAAACACACCACTTCCTGGATCTGGTAAATGAAAATGTATCTTATAAAACATGAAACAGAAATGTCGAAGTGTTGCAATAAACGGTACAGGGATGGAATGATGAAACGCTAGCAATTATTGAAGGATTAGATAGGATATAGATCTACCACATTTGCATTTAAACGTTTGAAAGCAACAGCAAACGTTTCAACAAAAGAACAAAGAGCTCTCCACTGGCGGGAGTTGGAGAGCGCAAGTGGAGAAACGCGCCTATGGTGAGTCTGCGCCACAGTAATGGAGAGAGAGATAAAGGGACGAGTGGGGGAACGAGGGGTGCGAGATGGAGAAGCGGAGCCAGAAAGGGGCGGAATAGGGAGGCTGGAAAATATATCAGATTGTTTCATTTACAGCAATAAAGCTGTAAGAATTATGAGAGAACAATTTGAGGAATATCATAAATATGGACTTAAAATAAATCATGATCAAAGTTCCAGACTGAATTTACACTTTTCCCATGCCCTGAAACTTTCCCCATATCATTTGCAGGGATGTTTGGTGGTTGTGTTTTATTTAATTTTATTGCACTGGTATATTCCACTTCAAATAACAAAAACGAATTTAATTTAATTGTGAAATATAATAGGGCCTATTTGTATGATTAGTAGGCTGACGCATATATACCTTTCATAATATGTCCCCTAATGTTATTATCCTACCTCCTCTTTCTCTCTATTGTTGCTTCATTCCTTCCTCGCTTTCAACAGTTAAATGAAATACGTTTCATTGTCCTTATCTTAATCATTCTAATGACATCCTTGACTAATATTGGACTAGAATTAGATGCAGAAGGCTTTCACTTCTCTTGATGAAGATTGAATGGTTATGGGTCTGAATAAATAACTGCTATAGCCTACCGCCATCGTGCGTTAGCTCTTCTTTCAAACTACCCGTGAGTTATATTGGCTGCTGTATTTAACGTTCATCAAAAAAGAGCTTGCGTCCCTCTATGAATAGTCTATTGGTAGAAGAAATGCAAAAAATATGTATGTCCAGCGGAGCACAGGTGCTTGCGTATTGCGCAAGAGACAGAGGCTTTAAGTTAGAAGCTTATGCATAACCCATCATTAATTAGCTAAACATAAGGCTAATACTGCATTGAATGTATTACCTGAAAGAGGTAGGCTAGGACATCTATATACAGGGCTACATATATCAATCTAGAACAAGATTATCTATTTTGGAAGCAATTTGAATGGAGTTGAAGGAGAGAAAGACTGCGAGTGCTGTGCACTGATTTAAAGCAACGATATTCGAGTGATAGACTATTTTAAAACTCTGCAGCTACAATTAAAAAATTAAGTGACCGGTTTCTTGAAGTTATTTATCCCGGGAAAAGGGAGCGGTTTTGGCCTCACGGTAAATCTCGTCAACCGGGTTCCCGCCCTTCAATCCTCATATAAACAAAAATCTAAAAGTAATTATAATCTATATAATAATTCACATTTCCTGTTGCTGTTATTTTCCTCCTGTAGCAAACTGGCTCAAATTAAGATCCAACATCTGTAGTCTTTGAAAAGTATACATCATAAATCCATCACAGCAGATCCATTAGTGTTATAGTAAAGAAAACACATAAACATCATTAACATTTTAAAATCAACTATTATAAACAAAAATCAACTTCAGAAATATATGGCGCACCATTTGATTGATTGACAGGGTCGGATGAACACACTACTTCAAATACAAAACATAGAATCAATACAAAGAATCAAACACTAAAAATACAAATAAAAGCAATGTTAATAATATAAGACCATCAATTCAAGACAACAACAACACAGTATCAATAAAACATTTTTGCCATTGTTTCTTAATCAGAGCGCCTGTACCATGCTCTGGTATGAATATGACCCTGTCAATGACAGCTGCTTATCCATTCCTTAGTCAGAACATTATATGACTCAGTGGTCCAGGACAATACAGAGATGATGGAGAGGTGATGACTGGGCTGTGAGGTTATGCCTGTGTAATTATTTTGTAAATATATTTCATATCAGTTTACCTAGAGGCGTTGTTTTTATTTATTTTTATCAAAACCATTAATTAATTGAGGAAGGTCCTTGGCCAAGTCAGTGCCTTTGTTTGGTCAGCTTCACTCTTCATTACTGGGTTGATCTGGTGAAGTATCTTTATCCACTATGACACAGATGTCAGCATTTTTGGATTAGGTTCTGCAAGTCAGAGGATGGGCAGAGAGATAGAGAGGAAACAGGAGGAGGCAGAGAGAGAGAGAGAGAGAGAGAGAGAGAGAGAGAGAGAGAGAGAGACAAGATAGAAGAATGGGTTAGTGTAACAAATAAAGACAATGATGTGATGGTCAAAGGAGGAAACTTTGCTATCACAAACGTGCTATAATTTGAAAAAATATATTTAGTTTCTCTTGGATCTTGATAACTGTATTTTACTTTTAAATTTGATCATTGACATGTAGAAGGGAGGGTAACATTGTCTTACCCAGATTGAACCATGTCCTCAATGAGAAATCGATTCTGTTTACATAAGACATGGAGGAAAGCATCCACCACCTTTTGTCCTTTAAGAATCACACATTTCAGTAGTTTCCTCATTTGTTCCTGATCAGTTGTTTCAGATGCTATTTTTGAGTGCTCTTCTTCACCAATCATGTCTTTTGAAAGCAGAGCATCTGCTATTGGCATAGCATTTGTGGCACTCTGAATGATTTTAGCTCTGTGGTTTTTCAGAAACTCCAAAGATATGCCAGAGTGTGTTATCGCTGGGGGAAGAAATCAATTAAATATATATGGTGTGAGGGTTAGCGGCAGACGTTTCTAGAGCTGTTTCTACCACTTGAGGTCTCTCCAGTTACCATTCCTTTTGATAGTTGTGTCTTGTATAGAGCTGATAATATTTCCTATTCTACATGATCTGTTCTACATGATCTGTTCTATACTGAACAAAAATATAAACGCAACATGTCAAGTGTTGGTCCCATGTTTCATGAGCTGAAATAAAAGAACCCATAAATGTTCCATTCGCACAAAAAGCTAATTTCTCTCGAACTTTGTGCACAAATGTGTTTACATCCCTGTTAGTGAGCATTTCTCCTTTGCCAAGATAATCCATCCACCTGACAGGTGTGGCATATCAAGAAGCTGATTAAACAGCATGATCGTTACACAGGTGCACCTTGTACTGGGGACAATAAAAGGCCACTCTAAAATGTGTAGTTATGTCACACAACACAATGCCACAGATGTCTCAAGTTTTGAGGGAGTGTGCAATTGGCATGCTGACTGCATGAATGTCCACCAGAGCTGTTGCCAGGTAATTTCATGTTCATTTCTCTACCATAAGCCACCTCCGTCGTTTTAGAGAATTTCGCAGTATGTCCAACTGGCCTCACAACCGCAGACCACGTGTAACCACGCCAGCCCAGGACCTCCACATCTGGCTTCTTCACCTGCGGGATCGTCTGAGACCAGCCACCCGGACAGCTGATTAAACTGAGGAGTATTTATTTCTGTAATAAAACACTTTTATGGGGGAAAAACTCATTCTCATTGGCTGGGCCAGTCCCTCCCATGGCTGCGACCCTGCCCAGTCATGTGAAATCCATAGATTAGGGCCTAATGAATTAATTTCAATTTACTGATTTCCTTATATGAACTAACTCAGTAAAACAGTTGAAACTGTTGCATGTTGCGTTTATATTTTTGTTCAGTATACATAACATATTTCTATCTTAATGCTCTGCATGTTCTGAATGTTCTGTAGCTTTGCATCTCACTGACTATGACTCATGAAAACAAACTTGTCATTGCTGTATTCATCTGAAAAATAAACCCAAAATATAATATATCATTAAAGTAAACTTTAATCCCCTAGACTTGAATTAGCATAATAATAAAAAATCCCCATCACAATCTGTCCGTTTAAGTCAGATGAAACGTGGCAGAGCTAGAGAGCGGTGTTTGTCAGACCATGAGACATCTCGAGAATCAGTCTTCTCACGAAAACGTCTGTAGCGCCCAAACGGTTTGGCTGTTATGAGCCGCCCTCTATCAAAAGATGCGAACCCCCCCCCCCCCCCCCCCCTTAGACTGTAGAGGGTTTTAATAGCATCTCCCCCCCCTTAGACTGTAGAGGGTTTTAATAGCATCCCCCCCCCCCCCCCCCCCCCCCCCCCTTAGACTGTAGAGGGTTTTAATAGCATCTCCCCCCCCCCCCCCCCCCCCCCCCCCCTTAGACTGTAGAGGGTTTTAATAGCATCTGTCCGAAAATGAGTGGAATGTATCTCTTACCTTTTGGTAGTTAATCATCCCATACTATGTTTCCATCATCTCCGATTAACTCCATCTGATTGTCAATCCCTGTTTTATCCATAACCATCTTAAAACGGCTTGGTTCGACGTCGTCAGGTAACAGCTGAATCTTCTGTATGGACGGCCATATGGTTCAACGAACGAGAGAAACAAAAAAGACAAAACAGAAGAGAATATGAGAGAGCGAGAGAAAGAGAGAGGGGTCAAACTTAATGAATAGAAAAAAATATTTGAACTTTTGAATTAAATGTCAGTCATTTCCCTAATCTACTAAAACTACACCTGAGGTCTGATTGATTTGGCATTGGGATTATGGAGCGCAAAATGACTTCTCAGCTTTAGGGGTCCTTTTGGACTTGACATGAGATATTCGGAAAATCCTTTGGACATCTGACTTTTCTCCCTTTTCTGCACAGCCTATAAAATGAACAATGGAGTATTAAGTCAGACCAATAATTCACACAACGTGCAACTCTGCGAAAAAAACAAACATCTTTAAAGGTGCCATTTAAAGGTCATGACCGACATACGCAGCGATTACCGTGAATGTGATCTCCGGGAACGTGGGAACATTGCCTTAAAAAAAGGCATTGTCTACAAGCGCGATTGGATTGAATCACGGCCTAACTGTCAACATAGACACTTAATGATGGTGGTGCCTTACTTCTTGTTGACCAGAGTTTCTGAGGAGCAGGTACAGCCGTGAAATTAGTGTTGCCTCTTTCACTGCCAGATAGAGTACCACCTCACAGTGTACTTCTACATCCCAAAAAGAGGGAAAGCACAGTGAAAGAGCTGAGAACTCAGGACGAAGAAGCTTAACATGGAATCGGGTGACCTCGTGCACTTCCTTGAAAGACACTCTATGTTCCTCTACATAAAGAATCTTCAAGACATTCATCAGGGAAGGGTTTGTCCCTGCACAACACAATCAATTGGAGAGAATTTAAAAACATTTTATATTATTCATTCAGCACAACCAAGAACAACGTTAAGTGCTTTAGTCAAGATGAGCTTGAACTCAAATAAAACAAATATGAACCATTAAATTGCACAACAATTTATTTCTGAATATGTTCAATTATTTTAACTAAACGGATGAAGTGTGGCAGATGAACTTCCTCCAGTTACCAAACTCCATAGTGATGTCCAGCAATGGACCACCTTGTGTGTACTGCATGTGTTTCAGAAGTTGACTGTAGGGTTCCCAGTTCCTGTAGTGGTATTTCAGAATGACATTGCTCTCACACACCCAGCGGAGTTCAGACACTGTGCATTCATAGCACCCTTTGGTAGAACTGTGCCTGAGGTCAACAATAAAAGTCAAGCAAAACATGTCAAAGGACGAAGTGGTTGGACCAAAGGACAACTTGATATCCTTCAGATATCTTTTACTGTACATGTAGCTCTTATTTTGGATAGTTAAAGACGTCCTCATGGGATTTCTTTTTACGTTTACTGTTGAAAAGTGATTTCCCAAGTATAAATACAGTAAAGTATACACACTAAAGGGTACATTTTTTACTTTTGACCAAAATAGTGTTTTTTTTGACAACTGCAAACTTCAAGGAGTAGGGCATTCAAGGAGTTGGTCTGATGGGGATTTGTGATGTCATCGGCCTCCCCCCTTGCTTCAAATCAAATCAAATTGTATTTGTCACATGCTTCGTAAACAACAGGTGTAGACTAACGGTGAAATGCTTACTTACTTACTTACTTCCCAACAATGCATAGAGAAAAACAGAAAAATAATAGAAAGATAATAACACGAGGAATACACAATGAGTAACGCTAACGTGGCTACAAACATGAGTTACCAGTATCGAGTCATCGTGGTAATTAAGGTAGATATGTACATAGGGGTAAATAAGCAGTAGCATCAGTGATGAGTCAAAAGAGGTCAATGCAGATAGTTAACCGAATAGCAACCTAGGCTGTTCAGGGGTCTTATGGCTTAGGGGTAGAAGCTGTTCAGGGTCCTGTTGGTTCCAGACTTGGTGCATTGGTACCGCTTGCAATGCAGTAGCAGAGAGAACATTCTATGACTTGAGTGGCTGGAGTCTAACAATTTTTAGGGCCTTCCTCTGACTCCTGGATGGCAGGGAGCTCGACCCCAGTGATGTACTAGGCTATACGCACTACCCTCTGTAGTGCATTGCGGTCGGATGCCAAGCAGTTGCCATACCAAGCGGTGATGCAGCCAGTCAAGATGCGCTCAATGGTGCAGCTGTATAACTTTTTGAGGATTTGAGGGCACATGCCCAATCTTTTCAGCCTCCTGAAGGGGAAGTGGCATTGTCACGCCTTCTTCACGACTCTGTTGGTGTGTGTGGACCATGTTAATTCCTTAGTGGTGTTGGTGGAAAAATGAGAGAAGTTGATACTCGCGACTTGCTGTTGCCGAGGCCCAGTGAGATGACTCAATCATGATTCATGACATTGTTTGGATGGATGGTCGTATATTTGAATATCACAGGAGACAGCCACACCTTTGCCGTGGCAACCTCTGGGATGAGACGTTCCCATGGAAGCCCTGGGGTCACTGATGCCAGGAGAGGTGTGAAGACTGATGAAAACTTTAAATGATTAAATGAATGTTACTGTGTGAATTAAATTGTCATTTGGATTGTTTCAAGAGTTCATAAAGATCTATGAATATTGATATGTTTTATTGTACCGTAAGTGCTATGGATTTATTGTTACGGGGAAACTGTTATTCTGTTAGTCGGACGTTAGTCAGGTAGCTTAGTGGTTAAGAGCGTTGTGCCAGTAACCGAAAGGTCGCTGGTTCTAATCCCCGAGCCGACTAGGTGAAAAATCTGTTGATGTGCCCTTGAGCAAGGCACTTAACCCTACTTGCTCCTGTAAGTCGCTCTGGATAAGAGCGTCTGCTAAATGACTAAAATAAAAAATAAAAATAAGTAGAATTAAAAAGGTAGCGACACAGGGGTGCGCTCCTATCATAAAGTTTTGAGGTGTGGTGATTAGTTTAGAGAATGTTCCTGCCTTTTGTGTTAATTAGCAAATAAATGTTAATTCAGGTTGGGGGAGAGTTCCTACTTGAATTTGGTCAAAAGGACAGTGAATTCGCCCATACTTTGAGAACTTGTTAGCAAGCTCCTGTGTGTATAAAACACATAGATTTTATCTTAGAGAGATTATTCTGAACAGAAAACATATGTAACCGCGTTAAGTCTTATTGATGATAGTAATTTGCTCTGTGTATTCTGTAATGGATCATGTATTTCATGTACACTAATTGAGTGTAAATTATTTTGTGACTAATAAATCGTATTGTTTTACAGAGTAATGCTTTGATTGACTATACGTTCATTATTGAGTAGGTATATTGGAAGTTTTATTACACTATACACATAGCATATGATTATGTTCCACCCTGATCTACTTGTCTCAATACATTAATGTTAGAACATTGTTCGCCATGATTAGCTATTTGTATCTAGTCTCTTACTAATTGCATAACGGTGCAAGTTAGACATGTTCATTATAGTGTTGGGTTCTAGTTTGAAATACTTGCTATACTAGAAGTTAATGGTTACATGTATGAGGAATGTATATGGTGGGGGTCAATGGAGATTGGATATGAGCCATGGGCCTGGAGAGTTACTAAGTAAGGGAAAAGGCACTGATAAGGGTAGATAGCTGTGGATTAGTGAGGAATGTGGGCCGAGGTCAGGTCAGATGAAGGGAGAAGGAAGAGTTTTATTACCCACATCGCTTAAATTCCTGCCTAGCAACAGAAATGTATTGGCTGTCTAGATGTGCGAGGAGTTGACTCCATCCAGTGGAGGGTATAAATATATGTACTTGTGGAACCATGTCTTTGTCTAGGCAGCTGTTTGACCCAGTGGGTGAATAAACTTGGTTTGAGCTTTTCCTAGTCGGCCGTTAGTTTTTTTACTCTATTTATTTAGAACCTAACAATAGTCATACTGAGTCTGTGATTAAATGATTTGCCATCTTACAAGATCCTCCTGAGACGCACAGGGCCTGTTGCATTTATTCACATTATAATGGAGTCTTCTCATCCTCAGTCGATAAGGATTTCCACCAACCTACAATATGGACACTGAGGAACTTGACGCTCTCAACCTGCTCCACTACAGCCCCGTCGATGTGGATGGGGTCGCGCTTGGGCCCTCTGTTTCCTGTAGTCCACGATAAGCTCTTTTGTCTTGCTGACGTTGAGGGAAAGGTTGTTGTCCTGGCACCAAACTGCCAGGTCAATGACCTCCTCCCTATAGGCTGTCTTCATCGTCGTTGGTGATCAAGTCTACCACTGTCGTGTCGGAGTCGTGTGCGGCCACGCAGTCGTAGGTGAACAGGGAGTACAGTTCCTCTTTGTCCATATTGTAGGTTGGTGGAAATCCTTATCGACTGAGGATGAGAAGACTCCATTATAATGTGAATAAATGCAACAGGCCCTGTGCGTCTCAGGAGGATCTTGTAAGATGGCAAATCATTTAATCACCGACTCAGTATGACTATTGTAATCCCCTGTAGCTCAGTTGGTAGAGCACGGCGCTTGCAACGCCAGGGTTGTGGGTTTGTTTCCCACGGGGGGCCAGTATGAAAATGTATGCACTCACTAACTGTAAGTCGCTCTGGATAAGAGTGTCTGCTAAATGACTAAACTGTAAAATGTAAATGTACAGGAGGGCACTAGGCACGCAGCTATGAGGGGCCCCCGTGTTGAGGGTCAGCGTGGCGGATGTGTTGTTGCCTACCCACACCACCTGGGGGCGGCCCGTCAGAAAGTCCAGGATCCAGTTGCAGAGGGAGGTGTTGAGTCCCATGGCCCTGAGCTTGGAGGGCACTATGGTGTTGAAGGCTGAGCTGTAGTCGATGAGCAACATTCTCTGCTTGAGGAACAATGCCTTTTGTTAAGTAAATCAGGTGATAAATGAGCTGAAAATGAGACTGGAGTAGGACTTTAATACATCCCACTGGGCACAGACGTCATTTCAACATCTAGTTTTCATTAACATTTGGATGAGTTGTCAATTAACAGGTTGGTTACTCCAAAGGTTTCCTAAAGGTCTTCCTTCGATCAAACTCATTTGTCCTAGCAAATGTGGAAATGGCTTGATCTCCCTGGAATTTAGGCTTAGGTTTTGTAAAGCACTTTGTGACAGACACCTTTGTAAACTAAATTTAAACTGTATAAAAAGTGAATTGATTGATTGATTGCAGCAGGGTTGGGGTTAATTGCATTTCAATTCAGTCATTTCAGGGAGTGAACTGAAATTCAATTTCGTTTACTGAAATTAAAATGGAATTTACCCCAACCCTGCAGTGATGTCAGTGGCCCAAAATGTATAATTTCTTACTTACCTGAATGTGTCTACAAGTCTTACAGCCCATTGGAATTTCTGAAATGAGAATCATTGGTCCATCTTTTCATGATGTACACCTTTGATGAGTAGTTTACCATTTTAGCCAAAAAACAAGTCATAGGGCTAATCACTGAGAAAACACATTTGCTGTGCTACCAAAAGAGGTAAACACACTGTCATCTTGGCCTTTGGAGGCATCTGGTACTGTGTCTCAGAAACAAACCCATGGATACAGTATACACACCCTTGTATATTTGAATTTAAACGGGACCCCATCATGTGGAATAGATCTAATACAAGTGAAGGTATGACTGACCTTGATTTAATGTTTTTGAGTCTTCTATTATGGTTCTCTCTGATCCAATGGCATCATCCATTTGTTTCTGAACATTTGTTTCGGATTCTACTGTGTACCTTATGTCAAAAGCCTCAGGGCCACTGATATTGAAGCCAAGGTAAAATGAGATATCGCCATCCTTCCAAACACTTGCTCCCGAGTGGCGCAGCGGTCTAAGGCACTGCATCTCAGTGCTTGAGACGTCACTACAGACCCCCTGGTTCGATTCCAGGCTGTATCACAACCGGCTATGATTGTGAGTCCCATAGGTCAGCGCACAATTGGCCCAGCGTTGTCTGGGTTTGGCCAGTGTAGGCTGTCATTGTAAATAAGAATTTGTTCTTAACTGACTTGCCTAGTTAATTAAAAAATTAACTGGCCTGTTTTTTGGGACAAATCTCAATGTCTTTGTCTGCCATACAGGCAACTACCTTATGCTCTCTGACCACTCCATTGACACGAACAAGTTGGTTTTGGAATCCGTCTCGTCTGCCACTGTTTTGAGAAAACTGCCCTGGTTTCCCCTCCGTCTCAGACTGTTCCCATTGGTTCTCTTTTTCTGATTTCTGAACAAGTCTTCTCAAACCATCACCCCTTCCCAGGTAGAACAGGGACACAAGTTCTCTGGATCGAATATACTTCTTGTATTTGCTGTTATATGCAAGTTTCATAAGCCCAACATACATGTTGAGGTCAATGTCGTTGGTGACATCCTCCTCTCTTCCTTCCTCGGGCCAAAACAGTAGCAGGACAAGGAGGTAAAACTCTGGGGTCCAGAGTTCTCTGTTGTCTTCCTTAATGAACTTCTGAAGAATGACTCTTAATTGTGGTAGAATTGTGGGTTCTGGAGATGTCACTGGCCCGTTGGCCAGGATGTTGACCAGGATGTAATTATAGGCAATGTTCACATTGCCACTTTTGTTTTTATCATAGATAGTTCTCCACAATTCTGTGATGTGTTGCAACTCAGACTTTCTGGTGTTTCGATTGACACAGGAGAGTAGTCCAGGAAAGGTAGAGGCTATTTCCTCTTGAAGTTTCTGGAATTGTACACCCCCTGGTTTCTGTGCATGGAACAGTCTGGGTGTAATTATGAAATTTGCATAGCAATCATTGATTTCTCGCTGAAAGTATGGTGGCTGGTCCCCTAAGTTACTGGGCTCAGAGTAAGTAAGGTATCTCTCAAAAAACGTCAATTTCCTTTCAACATCATCTCTGAGACTGGCGAGGAGAGGCTTGTACTTCTCGAGTTTTCTATCTTTAAATAGTTGAGGAAGATGTTCTGCTGGCATTTCCTGGGTGAGAAGATTTTCCCATGTTTGGGTGATCTTGGTAAGGGAATCAAAAACAGTGTTCGCAACCTGCAAAAAGCCAAAGTGCCCCCTATTGTTAAAGATGCTGTAATCTTTTATGCCAGCACCCTTTTCTTTACCAGCCAACTCTTCCTCCTGTTTGAAGGCCCTGGTGGCCTTTTCAGCATAGGACAAAGTGTATTTTGCACATGATCGCACAGGTTTGGTCTTCAAATCGTTTTTATGGACTTGTCCCAGTGTATCAGGAACAAATTAATTTCTGAGCTCTCTCCTTTTAACTTCTATAGCCTCCTTCTCAGCTTTGTCATAGTCCCTCACTTTGATGTAGTAAAAGCGAGCAAGAGCTTGGCGGTAAAATGGATCAAGCATAAATGTATCTGATGCATTTTTCAAGACAGTTAAACAAGTGTGAAAGCCTTCTTTGTTCTCAATATCTTGGATCAATCTGGAAAACTGGGGTTGTTTCCCTCTTAGTTAGCATGTCTTTGAAGTACTGGAACATGGATAGCTGGATTTGGGCTTTGGTTACAAACTTCAGAAAGTCCAGTATTGTCTCACTCCTGGTGACAGAAGCCTTGGTCAGTAACTCAACACATTGATGAGCTATAAGTGAGTGTGCCGTGTTAACATGCTTGTCTTCTCCCTTCTTCCTAGAGAATTCCACCATGAGATCTCTGAAAGGGTCCACGCGCTCCTTAAAAGGCATATCCACATCCGAAGGGTCTGGACACCCGAGGAATGCCTCACACTGTGACTGCAACAGATAGGAGCCAGGAACATAGGAATTTAGCAGCACAAGAAATGCAAAAAGTCTGGTTTTGCAGGATGTTTTGTTTCTCTTCACAAATGAAATTATTTTCATTCCTTTTTCTCTCACATATTCTTTACTGAAATCAGATTGCGTTATGTTAAAGCTGTAAAACATGATTCGTTTCTGTCCGTGGTACATTCACAGTTCTTCTTCTTTGTTTTCAAAGCTGACTTTCTCTGAGACTGACAGTTGAGTTCTGAGGGTCACTTTGGTCTTGGATTTGGTCTCCTTTTTGGATCCCTCTTGGTTTTGGTGTCTTCTTTCTTCCTCTTTAGTCTTACCATTAGCATTTTCACCAAGGATGACCTTGCGCATGCAATGTATGACAATGACCACAGGGAATCTGGCATGTATATTTTGCTCTTTTATTTCTCTGGTGAGGCTGTCCTGTAGAGAATTATTCAGGTGTTCGTTGTCCTGCAAGAGGAGCACAGTGTTCTGTTTTTCCGGACCACCTGTTTCAAAAAGTCTTATCACCTGTTTGGCAATTGCCTTTGTATCTAAACTGAGGTCTTTCTGTGCTTGTTTGGCATTAAACGTCTTGTCAGTAGAAGGGTTGACCAGAACAGTACATCTGAACTGTTTCCTCAGGTCCCAGAGTACCTGCATGGCCAGGGTGGTCGCCCCACTGCCCGTCTCGTGCTGAATATTAATGGTGCTTGTGCTCTAGTGGCTCTGTTGAAATACCATAATCTGCTCCCTAAGTTCCTCATAGCCATCCCTTTTGATAACACCAATGGCCTTTCCTTTTTCCGTAGGTGTGACACTGCTATCAGAGTCTGCCTTCACATCAGCCAGGTAAACGTTCATCCATTTGGGTGGGGTTCCCTTGTAAAAATCAGACTCTGTCTCCAATGCAACTGCTGGTTCGATTTGCTCTCCTTCAAACTCATTTGCACTCAAGACATCTAGAAATGAGAGTGAGTCTCTGAATTCGTTCTCCGGGGGAATTTCACCACATCCAGCCTTGGGAAGGGTTGGTATTACTTTGCCAGCCACAACAGCACTGTTTTAACGAAGAATGAAAACAGGTTTTTATTGTGACCAGTTGTTCTGTGTCATGTGCATGTGATTCTTCCTGAGAAGGCTGAGCATTCCTGTGGCAAGTAAGGTGTGGCAGCATGGGGCATCACAGATCAGGTAAGTTGTTCTGTATGGATGGTTGTTAGATAGTTGTTTGAGTAGTACAGTGCAGCTCCAGTTTGACCATTGTTTCTTGTTATGTCCAAATCTACAAAGCAAACGTTTAGAAAACAAACAGCATTTCAGTCAAAAGTTGTTCTTGCTGACACAAGCACACTAATTACCCTATATTTTAGCCCATTGTAAGGAATGCGAATTGTTCCACTGACTTAAATAGCTATTGTGAAAGACCAAATAAGTTGGTGAAGGTTGGAAGCAAAAATGCTGGCCGGACCTGCATTTGGACGTATTTTGATTATTGTTAATTGAGATAGACCACCAAAAGATGGTTTTGTTTCCCTAGGAAAATGTTGTTGTTTTTATGCTAATTTCCTGCAATTCTGCGTAGTGTAAAATGACTCATGACATCTTTTAGCTAGGCTGTTTCATGATAATTTCATATAATATTTCATGTAATATGGATAGAGAAAATAGATCTAGACTATTTTCACATATGTTATTTCACAAATATGTTACTTTTCCAAAACTTTTCCAGACCTGGAAAACACACCAAAAAAAATCCAGGATTTTTCCAGGATTTTATGGACGCATCCCACTGGGCACACGTAAATTCTATGTCTATTCCACGTTGGTTCAACGTAATTTTGTTGAAATGACGTGGAAACGACATTGATTCAACCAGTGTGTGCCCAGTGGGACCAGTCCTCATAGGCTATATCCCAGCCATGTTAGAAGTTATAAACTGATAGAAAGTGTAGGCTCTATAGATGATAGAAATAGGCTAATGACTTTCAAATGTAAAATAATTAAACTAAATAAATAACCTACAAAAGCCCCCAGGCTATAACATCACATGTTCCTGGGTTCCAGTGTTTAAACTTATAAAGCAATCCTGGCCTTAATTCACAATTTCAGTTCCCACGCATACAGTACATGTATTTATATTTAAGCAATAAGGCCTGAGGGGCTGTTCTTATGCAACGTAATTAGAACAGTAAAAATAAATGTTTTGTCATACACGTGGTATACGGTCTGATATACCACGGCTTTTAGCCAATCAGCATTCAGGGCTCGAACCACCCAGTTTATAAATATATTTATACCATGGAATTGTTGAATACTTGTTTCTGATTGGCTTAAAGGGCATTCTAGAGCGTGCACTATAACACACAGTATATCAGCATGGTAGAATTCAATGGCTTCATTCTTACATGTTCTATGTTTGAGCTGCTTTTGAAAGCAAAAGTCTAATTGAAAACATTATTGGCATTGTTGAATTCGACTGACGGTTTGGATAGCAAAACTAGCAAGTCTGTTTGTTTGGTTACCGAGGCAACAACTGTAGCTATCTAGTAAACTTGCTATCTACTTCATTGGATGTTGAACACATTTCTACCTGCAATTGGATGTGTTAAATTATAGCCATGGTGTAAAAGGGATAATCAACTCTATGCATTCTCTGGAAAATAATGCAACTCCATGGAAGGTGTCAAACTAGGATACCACTTCTGCAAGATTAACAACTCAACTCGAACCTGTGTACCAACAGTCCGTTATTCTATTAATCCTCCAGATCTGGTAAACGCAGCTCAACCTTACCACCGGGTTAGTTTATAGCTAGGGACAATTCCGCTACCTCAGCGATAAGGGCCTTTACAATAGGTGGGCTATCCTCAGAGCCTAGTGCATATACTCACTCCCGTTCCACCTGGCGCCGTCCCTGATGATCCAGGCCAGAGCTTCCACCGTAGACCACTACAAGGGGCCCTATTTCCTCGGTTGGCTGCGCCCAGAATCACCCCTCCTATGACTCCTTAAAAATGCACTCAGTATTCCTAGTCTAGCCTCAGGTTCCTTTATTACTGTAACTCAGATTCCCAACCAGCTTATTAACCAGATGTTAATATCCTCAATTAATCAAATCAATTAAGAAACCTTGAGTAAAGACATGCACTTGTATGACTCTTTGATGACACAGGGTTTCAGAACAACGACACAAGCAAGACAGGCATAAAAATCAATATCACAAATCAATAAACACACAAGCAATTATGATAAGCAAAAATGTACCATGGATTAGATACCTCCCGCGCCCTTATCTAACACCCCGTTAGGCTACCAATGCAATATTTTTTGTCTATTACAATTTTATGAGAAGTACAGCATTTAATAACAAGATAATGGAATCTTACGTTCTATAAACTTCTTAACATCTACACCCCCCCCTTAAGTTGCCCCTAACTCCCTAAGATGGTGCGGGTTCCATTTCCAAATGATACGAGCCTCGTCTCACAATGATCCAAGTCTCGTATCACTAAGACTAACAGATACCTCCCTGTAAGTTTTTTCTTGGTCAGGCTGCTACCCTTAATATACACTACCAGTCAAAACACACCTACTCATTCAAGGGTTTTTCTTTATTTTTACATTGTAGAATAAAAGTGAAGACATCAAAACTATGAAATAAATCATATGGAATCATGTAGTAACCAAAAAAAGTGTTAAACAAATCAATATATATTTTATATTTGAGATTCTTCAAATAGTCACCCTTTGTCTTGATGACAGCTTTGCACACTCTTGGCATTCTCTCAACCAGCTTCATGAGGTAGTCACCTGGAATGCATTTCAATTAACAGGTGTGCCTTCTTAAAAGTTAATTTGTGGAAAAAGTTCATTTGTGTATTCTTAGCCATTCAGCATCACATCATCATATTATTATTTCAACATCATAATATTTCACCATCAATCTCCTACAGTCCCTAAGGCAGGGGCATCAAACTCATTCCACAGAGGGCCCAACAACAGTTTTTTCCTTTCAATTAAGACCTAGACAACCAGCTAATTAGTGAGATTATTTCATCAGTCAGGTACAAGGGAGGTTGGAAAACACCCAGACACTCGGCCCCCCACGGAATGAGCCCGACGTGAGCCAAGGCCTTATCCCCAAAGCATAATAGACATAATCCTAATTTACCTTAAAACAAACTAACATCTCATCCTTAACCATTTTCCTATATTACTTCAGTCACCTTTGAACATTCTCCAACATCTTCAACATTCTTCTAATTCAACATTCAACATATTCTAATTTTAATTAGAGTCAATGTCCATTGCTTCTCTGAATGCTCATTCTCCTCTGTGCTCCATGTGTGAGTGTAAGTGAAACTTTTTCATGGGTGTGTGTGTGTGTGGGGGGGGGGGGGGGGGGGGGGGGGGCTTCTTGTCACCACACCCTGCCCATGCCCTTATCTACTAAAAATGTCACAGAAAACTACCACGTCATTCATTATTTTCCATAGAACGCATAAAAATACAAACACCCCCTAAGCCGTGTTCATGCATACACACCCTGGACTTTGGAGCAACCTCCACTACCCATTCCAACACCCCACATACAGTAAACTTCCTTCTTACCATCGAATATTTAATGCCTGAGCAGTTCCGTGTATGCAAACATAACTTCATATTTACACACCTGCGAACAATTTGTGTTTAGTGAGTCTGACCGATCAGAGGCAGTAGGGATGACCAGGGATGTTCTCTTGGTAAGTACGGGAATTGGACCATTTTGCTGTCCTGCTAAACATTCAAAATGTAACATGTACTTTTCAGTGTCAGGGAAAATGTATGGGGTAAAAAGTACATTATCTTCTTTAGGAATGTAGTGAAGTAAAAGTTGTCAAAAATATAAATAGTACAGATACCTCAAAAAACTACTTAAGTAGTACTTTAAAGTATTTTTACTTAAGTACTTTACAAAATACATAGAAACGGCACACAGAAAGTCAGTGAATTCTTCCCTTTTTTCTCTAGCTAAACAGCGTGGCTTGCCGCACAGCCCAAAACCATCAAATCGTACAACCCTTACCTGACTGTTAGTAGTATATTTTACTTACAAGTAACGATAAAGTGCATAAGTTTATACATAATACTGACCTGTAAAACAGGAGAAATTATGAGATTTGAAATAAGATGAGGAAGTATGAGGAAGTAGCGCCAAGGTCAAAGCACATCACCAACCAGAACTCCCAAATATCGCAGTCTCCCCCTTGTGGTGACACTTGGTATAAATGACTTCCAATGTAACGTCTAGAGGGGACATATATTCTGCACATCTCTTAAATAAATGAAAACAAAAAAATGACCATACATTTTGTCACACGCTCCCCAGCGTAAAGAAAATGGCTCCTGACGTCATTACACATAAGGTATACTATAGGCCCCAACTGTGTTAACTACTGGCTGTAGTGAAGGCTGACCTAGTGTCTCGTAGGTAAGCATTTGTCCAGGCCTTCTATCTCTGGTGGACCGTCTGACTTCCTCCTCAATAGGATCTTGGTCTAATTGTCTATTGTCCCCTAACAGGCTCTTCATTCCCTATATTTTCAACTTCAACTTCATCAACTTGGTCTAAGGCACTGCAGTGCTAGCTGTGCCACTAGAGATCCTGGTTCGAATCCAGGCTCTGTCGTAGCCGGCCGCGACCGGGAGACCCATGGGGCGGCGCACAATTGGCCCAGCGTCGTCCAGGGTAGGGGAGGGAATGGCCGGCAGGGATGTAGCTCAGTTGGTAGAGCATGGCATTTGCAACGCCAGGGTTGTGGGTTCGATTCCAGTCTAAAAAATAAAAATGTATGCACTCACTAACTGTAAGTCGCTCTGGATAAGAGCGTCTGCTAAATGACTAAAATGTAAATGTAAAATCAGGCTGATCCAATGTCAGGTAAGTACTCGTTCTATTTGTCTTTCATTTCCAGTTTGTTGTCTTCTTTCCACAGGTAAGGTAGAACTACATAGGCAGGTACTGCTCCTCGAGAAGATTCCCTCTGGACTGAATTCTCTGTGGTGCACAGGTAGGT